CATTGAGGCAGTAATTGCTGCAAAAGGGGCCCAAACCAAGTACTGAGTACATATGCATGCTTATACTTTTCAGAGATCTGATAGTTATCTCATATATTGGTTTCACCTTTTAAGTTGCATTACTGAAATAAATGAACTTTTGCACGATATTCTAATTTTTTGAGTTTCACTTATATATTAATAATCTGCACTTTTTCCTCAGGATTTCCAGAGATCTGTCACCTGATACATCTTTATATAATAAGATCGCCAACTCAGTAAGTTAGGTCTGATTAGGAGTGCCCTGGCAGCTCTGTCTACAAATAAACTTGTCCAGAATTTCTTTCTGCTCTGTTTCAAGGCTTATTTACAGTAATACAGTACAGCTATTATTAATCCACATTTCATTAATTGCATTCAAACTAATTGCTATATAAAACAAGCTGATTCTATTTATTAAGGTTGCCTGATGAAGAAAGTATGTTGTGCTGGCCAACATTTCACCCCAAATTCAAAGCATTCTTTTGCCACGAGCACAAATTTAAAAATAACTCCAGACTTCTTCATTTCTACTCAGTATTTGTTAAAAGAAAAGCAGAAGTTGTTCTTGAAAACTGTTTTTATATATTGTGTGTATGTCTCTACTGCCTTACATACAAATTGATGCTGGATATCTGTATAAGACATACTAACCTGAACCAACTCTCATAACACATGTTGATATCTGTCACTAACAAAGGATATTTACATATATGGTAATGATAGATTTGTTGTGTCATATAGGTCTTCTCTATTGAACTGTTTCTTGTTCTTCCAAAGCAAGAGTTTTATAGGTAGAAGTTTTCTCTATGTTATATCAAACATCTTATTCAGAAATGTTTCTAGTTTTGTTTTAAATATAAGTCAAGATTGTGTTGGGAACACCAGGAGAAGAGAGAAGTACACAGCTTTGATCTGCTCTTCCTGAAACACCATTCATTTTCTCTGGTTTTTGCTTTATTGGAATCTCGAATAGCCAAAATATTCTGGGTTCTGCTTCTCTTACACTGGCTAATCTGAAATGGTACCTCAGACATATCCAGAACGAGACAAAGCATATTTTCCATTTCATACACAGATGAATTAAAGCTCCTGGCAGATCCAGGCAGAATGGTCAGTGGTAAAAGTAATTATCTGAAGTAATTCAGGAATTTGAAAGACTACAAATTTCTCAGCTTATTCTAACTTTTAGCACTAACTTGTTTTAATTTCCTGATAGTTGGCTTTTCGATGGTTTGAACCACAGAACCAGTTTTAAATATAAATTAAGATACACCTTAGGGCAGGGATGAGCAATTATTGTATTTTTCACACTATAAGAAGCAACGGACCATAAGAGACACATTAGCTTTAGAAGAGGAAAACAAGGGGGAGGGGGAATCTGCCACTGCTTCCCAGCATCCATCTGGTATTCCAGCATCCATCTGGTATTCATCACAGCAAACGGCTTGGGCAGCTTCAGCATGTTATTGCAGCCCCAACACGTGGTTCGTCGGGGCTCCACTCCATTGTGCCTACCACCAGTCAACTAAGCTGAGTTGCTGCTGCTGCTGGGGTACACTGGAGCCTTCGCTGCTGTTGTAGGCGGCGGGGATTGTTGCTGCCGATTGCAGCTACCAAATGGTGGTGATGGCAATTAGCGGCAGCAATCCCCGTTGCCTAGAACAGCTAATTGGTGGTATTCCGGGGGGGGGGGGGGCATCCAACTGCCGAGTGAAGGCTCCAGCAATCCACGGCGGCAGCAGTGACGGGCAGCAGCAAACACTGCCACCGCACCAACCCCCCTCCCACAATATTTGCTCTATAAGACGCATAGACATTTCCACCCACTTTTTTTGGGGGGGGGGAGAAAGTGGTAAAGCCCAGGTCCCCTCTTAAGATGACCACTGCCACCTTCTCAGGCTGCTCTAGGCAAGGTGTGAGTACTGCACAGGCAGAGAAAAACACTTCTCACTTTGCTGCTGCTGCCAGCCAAGTGAAGGAATGCACAGTGGAGTCAATCTGACTTCTGCCCCTGCAGCAGGCGTTTATATTTAATATTTAATTTCCAATTGACCTCACATGGACCAGACAAGGACAGCCAAAAGGCCGGAAGTGGACTGGGGGTCATTAAATGTCCAGGTCTGCCTTAGGACCTCATGGTCTGAAGAAGGGCCTTTTCAATATTTCTGGTTTTTTTTCCCCATTTGTTAAATTTTTGATTCTATATATGAAATTACTTACAGGCAAAGACCAATATTTAAAATATTTACCACGCATCAAATATAAAACAACAATAAAAATATATAAAGGGAAACATGTATATGAGAACCTATATTTGCATTGCCCACATGATCCGCATTAATTAAGGTCTGCTTTGTTTCTACATGCATTTACACCTGTTCACAGAAGGCTTTGAACAAAAGGGTTTGTTATATTGGCATCATTCTTAATTTTTTTTTACAATGCCTTATTTTCTCTTAGCATTTGCCAAATAGTTTCCACAGCAGCTACAGGTGAAACTCGAAAAATTAGAATATCATGCAAAAGT